CTTAGGAAAGGCCCCGTAGCCCAATGGATAAGGCATCTGACTTCGAATCAGGGGATTCCAGGTTCGAGTCCTGGCGGGGTCGATGTTATTTTGGTAAAATAATATTTGTATCTTCTGAATTTCTTTCATCCTTTTAATCGCTCTCATTAAGTTATTAGGCTGGATAAGAAATCATGTTTGATAGAAGAACTTTTCAAACAAGTTATTTGTTTTTCCGTTCCGATAGTCTCCAGCTTCTCTGATAGACAATATACGTCATCCTATGGTGAAACACAACCCCCACCGGAAAATCTCTTACATCTACCATGGAAATTGGTTTAAGATACTGTCACTGATCATAAATTACTTCCGTTCTCTTCAGTGAAGAGTCAAATCACTTTGGTCATGTTGGATGATGAAAGTAAAATGAAGGCCTACCCTTCCCCTAACCCAACATTAACAACTGACTGTTGTTGGGTTAGGGGAGGGGTAGGTGGACAGTTGCCCAGATACTGATATTGATCCAAATGAAGGAGAGGTATCCCCACATATTCCATCAGGAAAGACATCAAGGGTTTATCTTAGAATATCGCAATATCAAACAAAAGTCGAGCTCGTTTTCAGTGTTTACATAAGTATTTTGCTACTTTTCTGTGGTTAAATCATGACCTGCTTATTTCATCCTCATGCAAAGAATCGAGAGAAAATCTGGTAGAAAAATAGAAACAACCAGAACTAAAAATATAAATATTTTATTTCTCAGGCCTCGTATAAAAACAACTTTAACAGCAAAAGCAGGAAGAATAAAAATTTATTGAATGAATTCTATTTTGATTGGAATACATTTCATTTTAGAGCATAATCCACACTTTCTTCTGTGCTTTGTCCAAAACAGGAAGGCCCCGTGGCCCAACGGATAAGGCATCTGACTACGAATCAGGGGATTCCAGGTTCAAATCCTGGCGGGGTCGCTGTTGTTTTGATTTTTTCTCATATAAATCGCCTTTCACAAAGTTATGAGACCACATACCACAGGTGAGGCGTAGTTATGTTTACTAGAGTAGAATTGCTGCATTTGCTATTTAAAAGTATTGAACGTTTATCTAGTATTCTCCGGCTTCTATAATACAAGTCATCCTTTCGTGAAATGTAACCCCTCCCGATTGAGTTATTATGCTTGTTACATCTGCTTGTTTTCCCAGGCTTCATTGCGGTCTCAGAGGGAAAGTATGACCCGGCATTTCTGACAGCCGGAGCGATAATGATTTTTGGTTCAAATCTCATGTTTCTGAGAAAGCTGACAGGACGGAAAGACTCGAGTGAGGAAAATCTTGCATTGGGTATAGAATCTTTTGAGTTATTTGTTAACGCAAGGGAACGGTGCTTTGAATGCAGGAGATCCTGGCAAGAAGTACCGCAGGTTGTAAAAGGTGTGATTCGTTAGAGCTCGGATCACTTGGAGTTCTGGAAAATTTTGGCGATCAAGGCAACTGACAAAGGTACCCGTGAGCTATCGGTGCAATTTCTTGGCGATCATCTTTGGGTAAAAGGTTAAATCTCTTCTCGTTCTGGAAAAGATGGCGTTTGGGCAAGACGTCTATGGACAGATAGTTGAATACATTTGAAACAACTACTCACTAAGGCGGAGATTATAAATAGTTTGTAATCTCTTGCTTCTTACTGAAATTGGTCCAGAATAAAAATAATAATTTGCAAACGTTCAATATTTAAACTGTATCACGATACGATAACATGCGAAATTCTCTAATATTTAATGTCACCAGCTTCACTACTACAGTTTCATACGAGTTGTTGTTCTTATTGTACAATATTTTCAACGACTTGAATCACAAAATTTCAAAAATTTTCCCTCCGAATAGTGATAGATTTCTTAGAAAAGACATTTTTCGTTCGTTTGTAGATTTTTACAGAGTTTTGATTCAACACATGGCTCCGGCCTCCCTAATATACGATATACGTCATCCTTTAGTGAAATAAAACCCCCGCCGGAAATCCTCCCACATCTACCATGGAAACTGGTTTAAGATACCACCACTATGATCTTGTTGGATGATGAAAGGAAAATGAAGGAGACATATTCTCACATATTCCATCGGGAAAGACATCCAGGGTTTATCTTAGAATTTCGCAATATTAAACTAAAGAGAAAATCTGGTAGTAGAAGAAAGAGAAACAACCAGAACGACAAATATAAATATTTTATTTCTCAGGCCTTGTATACAAACAACTTCAACAGCAAAAGCATAAGGAATAAGAGAATGAATGAATGAGTTGTTTCTTGATCGGAATAGATTTCATTTTTGAGTGTAATTCACGGCTTTTCCACGCTTTGACCACCCCTCACTATTGAGAGAATGATGGAAGTTCTCAGGACCAATCACAAAGCGATGTCGGATTACTTTCGACACCCAACTTTAAAGGTAAATACTATTGCTTTGATACATCGTCGAAGTACAATCATGATACGTTAGCTGTCCAGTTGGTGCTGAAAACCAATTACGTTCTAGAATTTGATATCGATTTGATAACAGATGAGGACATTATGTTAAACCCAAAGGTAACCCTTTGTGCGCATGTCCTTTCTTATCACAGTGACAGTGCATAGATGTGCTAATTGTTATTGGAGTAAAAATTGCCGAACTCAGAGGACCAAACCACTTCATGCAAGGTAAGGCTCTAGCTAGCGATAGTCATGCTAAGTTATGCTCTCATTTCAGTGTCTGGTTGGAGGAAAAAGTGTTGATATTCAGCGTGCTGTGTATTCTTTTTGTTTTCAGTCGCTTCAATCACATTTGTGAACAGACAAGATTTACATAACTGAGATTATCTCCATCAGCAAGAAGTTTGCCCAACAGTTTGCCGGTACCTATCATAATGCAAACATATCCCGGCGTACTTTTCAAACTGATATTATCTTCGAAAGTATATACTTCATTTGCATCTCATGTTTATTTGAATAAAAACGAGACAAAAAACTCTGACAAATTTGGTCAGCACTCACCAAATAATTATCAAATATGACAATGCTGCATACATATTTACAAAAACTTTAAGAAATGACGTTCTGAAAGTTGAAATCTTTATACCTTTACACATAGTTGTTTGATTTATTTTCTTACAAAAGTTTTCAAAAGACGATGAATTATAACGAACTAAAAGTAATAAACAACGCCCGGCTTTGAAGTTATGAAACAATTAAAAAGATAAAAGACTGTGTCGCCCGCATTGACAATGATCTGTTAAATAAAAAAGAGAATCCGAGTCAATGTCACGATTTTAAGTCAAACGAAGGAAAAGGTAGTACTACAGTTAACACAATGCTAAATTACTGACAAGTTTATTTTTGGCATTTGATTTACTGAACAGCACTACACTTACTTCCGTATATTGTCTTACTGGCCAACACCTTACGAGGTCTTACGACAATGTTTGAACTCAGGGAGCTTATAACAGGCAATTTACAGTTTTACTATTTTTTTCCCACTGGAAACAGTGCTTGCCAGAACAGGATCTAATGGTTGATGGTAAGAATATGGACTCCCCAGACAGTTCAAAAAGGATTGGGCGAGGACTTTGCGAAAGTACCAAAGATGAGGGGTACATTGACCGTTCTAGTTGTCTAACTGGTTTGTCACTCAAACTAAATATGTGCAATCGTATTTTACAAGTTTTCTTATTCGTACCTTTAGCTAGCTAAGTGCAGGCCTTTAAATTCTTCATGGCTTCAAGATCATTCGCTTTAACTGGAACGTTTATAACTTCAATACATCCAACATCCCCAGAGTGTCAAACCATGATGGTTGAAGGTCAAAATAATCTTTGCCTAGATAAAAGATAAATCAATTTTTGTTTTAGTTATGATGGCAATGCTGAGAATTTCGTTTAAGCATAAAGATACCTGGGATTTTTAGCTTACCAAACCAAAGTGAGTTAAATTTAGCGAGTCACTTTTCTAAACCGCCGCATAAACCGTGATCTTGAGCAAGGATCAATTACCTCCTCCGAAAAAGGGTTGATCTGACTGGATAAGTCACGAGTCTTTAATGCAGAAGAAATAGTCACAGTTTGAGCTTAAACAAAGTTGGAAGCAGGGATGTGTGTTCGTTTTGTAACGCCTCTAGCTATCTTGGAAAAGAAGTTCACCTTAATACCAGACGGGTTTGTTACTTTCAGAATACACTACTTTGTATAGATGTGGACTATCTCTTATATAGAATGGTATTTTACAATTTTCCATCTTCATACCTTTAGCTGGCTCAGCTGTGGGGGCCTTTGAATTTGATTTAACATTCTTCATGGCTTCAAGATCTTTTCCTTTAACTGGAACGTTTTCAACTTCAAGACATCCAGCGTTTTGGGATAGTCAAACCATGACGGTTGAAGGTCAAAATAATCTTTGCCTAGATAAAAGATAAATTAAGTTTTGTTTTATGATTGCAATGTAGAGAATTTCATTTCCACATAAAGATACCTAAGATTTTAGCTTACCGAACCAAAAGTGAATTAATTTCAGCGAAACACTTTTTCTGAACCGCCGCAAAAACCGTGACCTTGAGCACTTGATAAAAGAACAAGCTAACTCTTCAATTAAAGCTACCTCCTCTGAAAAATGATTGATCTGAGTGGGTAAGGCACGAGTCTTGAATGCAGCAGAAATCATCACAGTTTGAGCTTGAACAAAGTTGGAGACAGGGATATGTGTTCGTTTTTTCCCCTTTAGCTTTCTTGGAAAATAAGTTCAGCATAATACCAGAGGAATCTGTGTTATTTTTGTATGATGTAACACCTCATAAAGTTGCTCACTGAATTTGAGTCAGGCCAGTACATTGTAAAAGTACTAAAGCTGAAGGGTACATTGACAATTCTAATTGGCTTAATAGGTTCTTCACGCTCAGAAGACAGTACTTCGCACAGATGTGGACTATCAACTATGTAGAATCGTATTTTAAAGTTTCCATCTACATACCTTTCTTCATGGCTTCAAGATCTTTTGCTTTAAGTGGAACGTTTTCAACCTGAAGACATCCAACGTTTTTTGATAAAGTGTCAAACCATGACGGTTGAAGGTCCAAATAATCTTTGCCTAGATGAAAGATGATTAAAAAATCAAAGCCGATATATGGAAGAGCATGCTATCAATTCTGAGTATCTAACTGTTTTGTGACTCGTAAGACTACACTGCTTTCGCGCAGGTGTGGACTGTAGAGGAATGGTAATTTACAAGTTTCCTTCTTCATACCTTTAGCTTGTTCAGTGAAGGACCTTGAAGTGGATTTAACATTCCTTATGGTTTCAAGATCTTTTGCGCTAACTGGAAAGTTTTCAACTTTGAAACATCCACCGTTGTTGGATGGAGTGTCAAACCATGATGGTTGAAGGTCAAAGTAAGCTTTGCCTAGTTTAGAAAAAAAAAAAAAAAGCAGAAATAAAAAAAATAAAAGTGGATGGAAGTACTGTTAATGAAATCAAAATATTTATTTTTAGTGAAAGATGATGCAGACACCTCTTTCCTCTCCAAAAACAAGGCAGTCGTATCAACCGCGTTGTCACCACTCAGTTGATGCGACGCCATCCCAATTTACATACTCACCATTAAATATTTGTGGTTTGCTCTGGGACTCTTCTGCTTCTGTTTTATTCTTCTGGAAGGCAAAATTAAGGCCCCCCTCGAGCTCGGCAATGTTGTGCCTCGCCTCTTGCAGCTTTTCGTCTATTGATGCCATTTGCTTAACAAAATCAGATTGAGTTATTTGCCCATTTTGTTTTAGCTGGGACAGTTTTCCTTTGAGATCAGCAATGTCTTTGTCTGTCCCAAAGAGAGTTTGTTTAAGAAAGGCGATCTCCCTTTCTTTAGCTGTTAAAAAATAAATGAATATTTTAAGTACTTAGAATGTTAGATTGAATAAATTCAAGGTTTGAGTGATAAGGTAAACCGGGAAAACACGAAAAACGGAACTATTTATGACGGAACGAGAAGAAATAGGGAGGGGGGTGGGGGTAAACGACTTATTATCAGTGGCGCATCGGAAACTCTTAGAAAAATGGCTCCCTAGTCCGCGCGCACTTTTCTTTTCATGCGTGCGTGACCACATAAAACTAACCGTTAATCTCAGTTTCAAGGTGGATGATCTTCTGTGTTAGTTGTTCCTTTTCTCTCGCAGACTGAAAAAAAAATTGCCAACATATTGATTTTTTAATTAACGAAATTAGAAGAGAGCAAAAAAGCTGGGATACAAAGCATTATCAACTTGCTATCCAGCGTGAAGATGGTGGAATGTCGAAGAGTGGCGTCATAATCTAAAATTTCATTTGCGCGCTTTTTCATCTCTCCACGAAGAAAAAAATGTTCAAACTCAGTTACCTGAACGCCTTTAATGCAGAAAAATTCTAGTTGCGTTGAATGTTTCTCCAATGTTGGACGGACTTAAAATTGAGCTAATTTTGGAGGGAACCGTTTTACAAGTCAAATCGGAACTAATTACAACCTATTTTCAAAGCTTATATATTGAATCAGGTAGTCTTGCGCGTTCGCCTTTAAAATCACTTGAACTTCCTTTTTTCTTGCTCCTTCGGATAACAAATTGTAACTTTTACAATAACTAAACCTACTTTTTAACGGAAGAAAAAAGAAGTGTAATGATGAGAAACGCCCACCTCATAAGCCATGATCCGTGCCCCATGTGAGGCCTCTAAAAGCTCATGATAATTCTCAGCAGAACGATTTGTGACATTAATTTCTTCATCAAATATTCTCGCGGAACAGGATTTCCTCACAGACTCTTTGTCACCTGAGTTGTTTTTGTTCATTTTGTAACTGATGTCTTCATTCAAAGCATTCGATAAACTAGAAAAATGCATTCTCTTTCACGGTGCTATAGCATGAACTGAGCTCTTAGTGCGAAACAAAGTTTCCATTTGTTTATGACTAGTTGCATGGTAACGTGTTTATGCCGTCACTTTGTGGCATCACGCCAGATTTGAAGTATTAAGTCTGGGCACTAGAATTTTGTTGAAGCCAACCATAGTTGGCCATTATAATGCTTTTATAATGTTAAATTGATAATGGATAACACGGGAAATATCAGCGGACAACGATGTACATAGAACCCTTTACAGCAGAATAATTGATGTCATTGAGCGGGTTTCCTTCGTCCAAAGGAAAATGTGCGAACATTAAATAAATTGTTTAAAGAATGCTTACTCCGTTTCCAGAGTGCCAGCGATCACGAAGGGGAAAATACCGAAAAAAAAATAACTTCAAAGGACTTTAGGGGTGATGACTTTTACGACTAACGGTTTTAACGGTAATGTTTTACAATTAACTTTTAATACGACTAACGGTTAAAAGTTCGTCAATTTTATACGTCTTATCGCTAATTTTCTTTGCCGTTTTACTTCGAGTGAATGCCTTCCAATAACCTCCCCTCAAATTTAAGTCGAAATGTTAAATAAGCAACCGGGCGCCCATTCGAGGAAATAGGGTAACTGATTTAGTTTGAGCAGAAGCTCAGAAATTATCCTTTGCATAAAACGAAAAGAATGCTGATATTTTCAGAAAGGAACAAATTCATGAGCGAAAACGAAATACGTGTTTTATCCTATGCTAGGGCCTGTTAACATGGAGGTGAGGAACCCCAGATAGGTGATGTAACCCGCCTAGTCGTGGTAGAAAAAAGGCTCGCGTTTACATACAATCTCACAACCCCGGGTTGCTGGGGTGAAGTTTGTCAAGGTTGTAGTCGCGCTTGCATTTAGTGAGTTAAGATGCCACTAAATAGCGAAGTGAGGTAAAACGGTGCCGTTTATTTTTAAATGTTTATCAATTTTCATTTATTTTCCTCTAAGGTTTTCCCCAAAAGTCGACATGTTAACCGTTTCTGACGGTACGACGTCTTCACTTTGGCATAATAAAATCATTCGACACTGCCAGGGCTAATAAATTAGAAGATTCTATTTGACTGAGAGCTAAAATAGGATTATGGTTTAGTCTTCCTCTTCGACATAGGTGAATTATTCGAAAAGTGAATTGAATATTTCTTCGGAGCGATTAAGCCTCCTGAACACCTGCAGGAGAATTGCCGCTTTCTTTAGCACCGTTCTATGCTTTGACACTCATCTGTCTCAAGAAAGGCCCCGTGGGCCAATGGATAAGGCATCTGACTTCGAATCAGGAGATTCCAGGCTCGAGTCCTGGCGGGTCGCTGTTGTTTTGGTGAAATAACCTTTGTATCTTCTGAATTTCTTTCATCCTTTTAATCGCTTTCATGAAGTTATTAGTCTGGATAAGAAATTAAAATATGTTTGGTAGAAGAACATCGCTACACGTGCTTTTCAAACAAGTTATTTGTTTTTGCATTAACATGGAGGTTAGGGACCCCAGATAGGTGAGGTAACCCGCCTAGCCGTGGTAAAAAAATGGCCCGCGTTTAGCAGGCCTCCATCGGTCAGGGTCGACCATGGGTATAGCATCCTAATTGTGTGTTTGGCTGGAGCATCTGCGGCTATGACTGTGAAGGCCAATGCGTGAATGGCAGTCCCCGCCGCAAGTGCTGCACGTGTATGCTGTTTGTTGGACGTTGCTGATACGAAGTTTTCTGCGGGTCCGCCTCCTTGTGGCAGCTTGTGTCAGCTTCTCTTCTCCTGTTTTGAGGTGCCTTGTAACGGCTCCTCTCCATTGTGACCGATCAGCTGCGAGATTTTCCCAGGTCTCTGTGTCAATTCCTACAGCCTTCATGTCACGCTTCAAAGCATCTCGGTATCGCAGCTGTGGGCGTCCTCTGCGTCTACTTCCAGTGGCTAGCTCACCATACAGTAAGTCTTTGGGGATGCGGCCGTCTGGCATGCGATGAACGTGGCCCAGCCAGCGGAGTCTACGTTGCCTGAGTAAGGTTGACATGCTTGGCAGGCCCGCACGAGACAAGACCTCTGTGTTTGGGACTTTGTCTTGCCACGAAATTCCCAGGATGCGGCGGAGGCTTCTCATGTGGAAGGTGTTCAGGCGTTTTTCTTGTCTGGCGTACATCGTCCATGTCTCGCTGCCGTATAGCAGTGTACTGATGACACAAGCGCTGTATACTGCCATCTTGGTCTTCTCTGTGAGCATGGGGTTGGACCACACACGTGTAGTGAGGCGTGCAAGTGTGGCAGCCGCCTTTCCAATTCTCTGGTCGAGCTCGAAGTCTAAGGAGAGATTGTCAGTGACAGTGGAGCCTAGATACGTAAAATGATGGACCACTTCGAGCTCGTAATCGTCGATGGTAACGGATGGTGGTGTTTCTGTTCCTTGTTCCAGGACTTTAGTCTTTTTCAGGCTGATGGTAAGCCCAAAGTCTTTGCAGGCCTGAGAGAAATGGTCCATGAGTGACTGGAGTGCTTGCTGAGTATGGCAGGCTACTGCTGTATCGTCAGCAAATAGCATGTCTCTTATCAGGGCTTCACGCACTTTGGTCTTTGCTCGGAGACGGGCAAGATTGAAAAGCCTGCCATCTGATCTTGTATGCAGGTAGATCCCTTCTTTCGATGCGCCAAATGCATGTTTCAGAAGGAAGGCAAAGAAGATTCCGAAAAGGGTTGGGGCAAGTACGCAGCCCTGTTTGACACCGCTGTTGATGTTGAATGACTCAGAGGTTCTGCCGTTGAACTGCACAGTCCCCTGCATGTTGGCATGGAAGGACTCAATCAGGCTGTGTAGTTTAGGGGGGCAGCCAATTTTAGATAGAATTCTGAAGAGACCCTCTCTGCTTACAAGATCAAACGCCTTGGTCAGATCGATGAAGGCAATGTACAAAGGCATCTGCTGCTCTCTGCATTTCTCCTGAAGCTGGCGGAGGGAGAATACCATGTCTATCGTTGATCTTTCTGCTCGAAAGCCGCACTGTGACTCTGGATAGATACGTTCAGCCAGTTTCTGAAGTCTTACCAAAATAACCCGAGCAAAGACTTTGCCCACAACGCTGAGTAAGGAGATGCCCCTGTAGTTGTTGCAGTCACTGCGATCTCCCTTGTTTTTGTAGAGGGTAACGATCTTAGCATCCCTCATGTCTTGTGGTACGGCCCCTTCTTTCCAGCACGCACATAGGACATTATGTAAAGGCTGTGATAGTGTAGTCTTGCAGTGTTTGATCAGGTCAGGGGGATCCCGTCACTGCCTGGAGCTTTCCTTGAGGCCAAGCTGTTGATAGCCTTGCTGAGTTCGCCATTAGTGGGTTCGTTGTCAAGCTCTTCCATTACAGGTAAGCATTTTATGGCATCAAGGGCTGATGATGTTACTACATTCTGTCTTGAATAGAGATCAGAGTAGTGTTCCACCCATCTCTCCATCTGTTGTCCCTTGTCTGTGATGGCTTCCCCTGAGGTGGATTTAAGGGGAGCTGTCTTGTTCTGGATTGGACCTATTGATGTTTTGATGCCTTCATACATCCCTCTTATGTTCCCAGTAATTGCTGCAGTCTGGATGGCTTCGCTGAGTTCGGTCCAGTAGTCGTTGGCACAGCGTCTTGCAGTGTGTTTGACTTTGTTCCTTATAGCTCGGAGAATCTGAAGATTTTTCTCGCTGGGTAATCGCTTGTATTCCGTTAGAGCGGCACGCTTTGCTTCTATGATGGGGGTCATCACAGCGGATTTAGCTTTGAACCAGTCATGCGATTTCGAGGTACTTTTTCCAAAGGTGGCCAAGGCAGTGCGGTGCATTGTATCCCGTAAGGTGGTCCACTTCTCAGTTGCGGAGTCCCCTGACTGTAATGTTGCTAGATGATTCTCAAACCTCTCAGCAAATTGCTCTTTAAGATCAGGCTGGCTCAACTTAGTGACATCAATACGAGGGCTCCCTTTCTTCTTGCCACGGTGGAACCTTTTCGGATGGAGCCTGACCTTGCAACACACCAAGGAGTGGTCTGTGTCACAGTCCGCGCTGTGGTAAGAGCGTGTGTGGAGGACGTTCTTAATAGCGGTTCGTCTGACAAGGATAAGGTCCAGCTGATGCCACTGCTTTGAGCGCGGGTGTCTCCAAGAGACCTTGTGCTGAGGTTTGGTCTTGAAGAAAGAGTTGGCTATGCAGAGTTTGTGATAGGTGCATAGCTCGAGCAGTCTCTGACCATTGTCGTTCATCTTGCCTATGCCAAACTTTCCAAGGCAAGAAGGCCATGATCTTTGATCAGCTCCTACTC